AATAATCTGTATATTAATACACTTGTTTTTACACATCACTCCAGGAAGTACCTGACACCTTTTGCCATGCTTGATCTTTACAAGTGTCAGATTAGACCAAAAATGACTGCCATATCTGGGCTAGAGCTACTCAGACTTCATAGAGTACAAAATTAGTTATATGGTCTTGTGAGGGAAGGCTTATTCTCCACTCTGCATACACTTTCACACAGACACAATGCTTCAAGTTTATTGTTATTTCCATGGTAAATGAGCTCCTTTTTTTAGTTCCATCTTTACAGCTAGGACACATCAGGCTGCTACCACAGAATCAAATCATCCACATTTCTCCCATATTCCATATGTAAAAAGAAGGTTCCACTCAGACAAATTTTCTCAAGACCTGCTACTTTGTGAAACAAACCTCCATATAGCTGATTCCCTGAACACTACAATCTTAACCTCCTCAAGTTAAAGGTCAATCATTATATATCCTCCTTATTCTCACAGTGTCTACTTCCACCATTTCCTTTTTCACTCATATCACAAACATCCATTATGGTTTACAGCCTCATCACATTGAAACACCAGTTCCTATACAATCACCAAAGTTAAGCAATGTTGAGCTTGGTTAATACCTAGATGGGTGGTTGCTAGGGAATAACAGGTACTGTAAGCTTGGTTGTGCAGATGGTATAATAGATAATGGCTTGGAATTGTTAATTAGAGAGTCAAGTTTCAATTTCCATTGTATTAGCAAGTACCTTTGGGAAATATATGAATCCATCTCTTTCCTCCCTAACTATGGGTTAATTAGTAACACTTGTAGGACAAAACCATTATTATCTCACCATTATTATCTCTGGCTTTAAATAACCTGCAAAGGGTTGATAAACTGTAGAAAATGAATGAATCAACCAATCAATAAACAACATTTATTATAACCATTTTAATAGTAACCTGCTACTTTTAGTAACTCTCAAGCCTTGTATTAGGTGAATTTTAGCAAATCTGCCTGCAGATCTCTGTGTATTGGACTCTTCTGATGACATGGAAGAAATAGAATTTTCTGTTATTTTAAACTTAAAACATTATTTGTCTTAAATTATTTTTAACTTGCAAATAAATGAATAGCCATTTTGTAATTACAGTGTACTCATAAAATAATGAAAAATTAAATATTGCCATCATCTTTTGCAGGGAAAGGTAATCTAGTAATAATAATAGATAACTTAATATATAATAAGAGATTAAAAATATTTTTAAAAAAAGATAACTTGATCCTAACTTCTGTCTGAATTTCTTGGATGAGGGTCTATCAATATTTACATTTGGACTTATTATCACCTGATCACCTGATCAGTATTTCTGAGATGAGGAGTTATCAATTTTTTACATTATTTACACTCAGACTATTGTTCTCATCTTTGTTGATAAGATGTAAAAAACAAATCAATCATCTTTGTTGTTAATATCATAACATTTCAGCCATGGTGCTGTTCAACCTTCTTCAGGTGTCTGTCAGTACAGGTAACCTTCAGGGAATTTCAAACTGAATACTTTATTTAATCTACAGGTAATAGACTGTTCTCATCCCATTAATCATGTCTAGGAATATCTTGTTTTATTCTTATTTAATACTACCCAGTTATTGTTTGCTCTGTTTCCACCCACAATACCCAGGCCAGAAGTTGGATTCACAATCACTATGTCAACAAATTCATGAACCAATACTTTAATCCACTCAGCTAGTGTCCTGTGGTTAAAAACGTTTTGATAATAACAACAAAGATAAAGATAATAGTCCGAGTGTAAATAATATTGATCTTGATCTTAACCAGGAAAACAATAACAAAAGACTTAGGAAAAGTGATTATTCATTAAAATTTGTTAATTTCTTATACAAAACTAAAATATCTAATGTTCTCTCTTTTTTTTAAAGAATTATCCTGTCTCTTTAGGATGAAGACAATTATGACTCTCCACAGATAAATCTTTATTATCGATAAATTGCCATACATTCTTGAGAAAGATAGTGTTGTGAGGGAGAATATTTCCTTACAAGTTTGAACTCAGCCGTCAGACAAAAGACATAAAAATCCTACATCAAGAGGAGTAGCAGGAGGAGAAATAGCAGCAGTAGCTTTTGCAGAAAATAGTTAGTCATTCATGACTAAGCATTCTCTCTCTTAGTTTCTATTCTACATTATGCTCCCATGTAACAAAAGGTAATAAACTTGTTTTTTAAACCAATTCTGGTTTTCTACTGTTGTTTTTGATAACTCAATTACAACAGATATTGGGGTGGTTAATTAATTAATAATAACCAATGATACTTGATCTAACCAACAAATACTATTATATCTGATACTACTAATCTAATAAAAAAGTAGCAGAGATAAAATGAAATAAATACTAGTCAAAAATTAATAATAATTCACAATACCAAAGAATACTAATATATCTGTTACTAATAATTAATAGGAAGTAGTAGAAATAAAATGAAAGAAATACTTGTCAAAAATTGATAAACATTGACAATGCTTCATTAATTATATTATAAATCAATTACATTTAACAGTATAGTCGTTTCTCAGTGCCTTCTCCACAGTTTGATATTCAGAATTTTCTTCTCTTAGACTGGTTGCCACCCAAGGCTATATAGCCTAGTCCTATCCTGCTATTTAATTTATAGCTGGAGAGAGAAAAGATGGATTCAATCCTTTCCCAAGGATAATTGTGAAAAAGTGAATGCAAAAGGTTGAAATTTGAACTCAGCTTGCTAATTCTATTTCCCTACTGATATCTGCTATATTGTACACACATGAAATGTGTTCTTAAATAGCTGTAATTTGCCTAAATAGATTTGAACACATTTTCACAGTTACAAACGAATGTATCATCTTTCAATAATGAACCTTAAAATCGATCTTTCATATAAAACTGTAAACAACATGAATTTTGCATTTTAGTATCCGGAATACCAAATCTTTTCACAGTGTTTTAATTTCTGCTAAACAGTCACCAAAAAGGAAAAAAAAAGCAAGCAAACAAAGAAGAAAACTTGATTGATTTTCCTTAAATTTCTGCTATTATGAGACTTAAAGTCTCTATCATATGAGATTTTTTGTTGAAATATGACCAAGCAATATTAGATCAAACAACTAGTTGGATTGTGGCACCATATTGCCATATCTGATAACCAGCACATTTCTTTTCTTCTTGCCATTTCCAGTTTTTCAAAGTTGAGTGAATGAATGCATACAAGGGTTCTGTGAATTCCCTTCTCTGGTGCCACATTTTAACCAGCCGCCTCCATTGCATATGCATGTCTCCTTTTTGGTTCATTACTTTTCCTACTTCCTCAGCATTTATTGCCTGACAATGTTTTCAGGGGTTAGTCTTTGTTTATGCCCTGGATTATGGAGTATTATTACATCGCCCCTCAGTGTGACTGCTGTGTTTGGTGGCAATGGAACAAGAGTAATCAGCTTTTCCTCTATGTCTACAAAAGACGATATAACTGCAAGGTATTCCTCCTTTTACCATTTCCTTGTTTTTTTTTTCTAGCCTTCATCATCTTGTTTTGTTCTGTTTATTTTCCATATTAAATTCTAATTTTGTCTGTTGCACCTCATCAATTTATATGCATAGAAGCACAATACCAAATTTCAAATAACAGTATAATTAAACTTTATTTAACAGCACATAACGTAAATCATTATCATGCTAGCATATTACCATATAAAAAAAATGATAAGATGATTTACATACGACTTGACACTTCTGTCTACAAACAGTATGTCTGTGGACTTTGCCTAGGGTCAAAGTATTGATTCTCATATCAAAAATCTAGGAGCAGAGTGCAATACCTGTGCATTCTGTGAAAAGTTATATGTGCACATATGCATATATTTCATTAAAAATGACTGCCAAGGTATTTCTGTTTTATTTTATTGTTTTTACCTGTATATAAACAAGTGATTTCTTTTTTGGACATCTTGAAAAATTGTTGAAATGATTGTTCATTCCAAGTGCCAAACCATTTAGTCAAATTTTCAAAGATTTTGGTTGTGGCTGTAACATAGCAACAACTCTATATGGAAGCTTTATTTGACTAATTCAGCTTTAGTGCTGAAAATGTTTATTTTATTATAGTGGGTAGTTACAAGCAAGAAGGGAGATGGGATGTGCTTATTTATTACCACCAACTCTAACTGTAGAAAATACCTAAAAATAAAATAAGCTCTAATTAAACAAAAAAGAAAAAAAAACAACCTAAAATATTATTCACTATACAACATGACTATAGTGTACTGGCCATATTCAGGAATTAAAATCTTATACACCATTTACAATAGAACAAGCCAAATCTTTGAAAATGTCTAATATATTGGCCCTTGACATTCACAATGAACAATCATTTGAACAATTTCTATGCACACACTGAATCCCCCAAATTATATCCCTTGTTTATACACAAGAAAAACAAAATAACAGAAATACATTGTCAGTCAATTTCAATGAAACATCTATTAAAGAGAAATTGCTGCCCAAAAACACAATTTTATATATATATAAATATATATATATAAATACATATATATATACACACACACACACACACACACACACACACACACACACACATATATATATATATATATATATATATATATATATATATATATACACCAATTTTCATAAAATGTAGTCAGTCTGATGAGATAAATATGATTATATTCATCAAAATAAATTTATTACTGACTATGGATTTTTAAGGTTTTTCCTAATTATTCTTATATATATATATATATATATATATATATATATATATATATATGAATTATACATTGATTTTAATATATAGGAATTGATTCAGTTTCAGATATTAATTCTGAATATTGTATTTCTTTTATATGTCATATCTTTTTGAGATGTGGGTGATCATGGCTATCCACAACTTAGATGTTCTGACAGAGCGTTACTGCTTATTACAGCTTATTCTATTTCTGGCTAATGGCCACGTCATGTTGAAACACTAGTTCCCATATAATCACCAAAGTTAAGCAATGCTGTGTTTGGTTAGTACCAAGATGGGCGACAACTTGCGGATACAAGGTGCTGTCAGCTTGGATGTGTGGGTGGTATAATGGATAATGGCTTGAAATTGTTAAAAAGTTCCAATTCCAGTTGGATTTGTTATATTTACTGATGTGCAAATGCCCTTGGGAAAGGTATGAATCCATCTCTTCTCCCCCCCTCCCACAGCTATGGGGTATGATGTGTATCACTAAAACATTATTATCTCAAAAAAATGTTTTCTGGCTTTAAATAACCTGCAAAAGGTTAATAATCCATAAAAGATGAATCAGTTTATTTTCATTTTAATGATTGCGTTTTTAGTATAGAACCTCCTGTCTGAAATATCTGAAAACTTGACGTATTTGGATATATATTTTTAGGTAATTTTTTTTAATAATTTAAATTCTGAATTATGTTAGTTTTACTCATCTGTATTTTAATTATTATGAGTTTAACAGTGCTTTTACCTGGAATATTAGTGGATTATATAATAATGACTATAATTTTATTGAATAACCCAAACTGGTTATATAACTATTATATTTTTATTGAATAACCCAAACTGTTTATATATTTTTATTAAATAACCCAAACTGATTAAATAGACTACTATATTTTTATTGAATAACCCAAACTGTTTATATAGCTATCATATTTTTATTGAATAACCCAAGCAGATTAAATTGACTACTATATTTTTATTGAATAATTCAAACTGTTTATATAAGAACTACTTTAATTTTATTGAATCAATGACTGATACAAATGAAATTACACAAATTCATTTTTCTTGAAAATTATGCTTTGTGAATTTCTAAAAAAATAAAAATAATACATTTTTATCAGGATTGTATGAGTACATGTATGTGTATGTGTGTGTGCATGAATCTGTGTATCATATGTGCATATGTATGCATACATCTATCTTTGTAGTGTTTATGTTTACACATTTGTCTGTGTACACATGTTCCTATCTGTGCATGATCTGAGTAGTGTGCATCTAAGTGTTCATATAAGTGTGCATAGGTATGTGCATATATGCGTGTGTGCATGATCTGAGTAGTGTGCATGCATATGTTTATATTTATGTTTCCATGTAGATGCATAATGTGTGTGTGTGTGTGTGTGTGTGTGTGAGTGTGTATGCAAGCTGGAAAGAGAAATTTCTTTATTTCATTACAAAACTAAATATATATTTATTTTATACTTTATATTTGTGTTTAAATAATTCACTATATTTCCAAATTATGGAAACTAATTTCAACTTTAATACCAATTTCAATTTTTAATGATTTGCACATTTTACAACTTCTGCTTTTATTATTAGTAGTATTTTTAATATTATTGTTATTATTACTGATAAAAGATACATACATAGTACATTTTTGAATTCCAGAAATAAAACTAGAAATATTTCCTATATCTTAATGTTTCAAGAAAAAAAAATCATATTTAATTTTTAAAATGTTCTTTATCCAATAACACAAATTCAAAAATATACACTTCTATATGCTATATCCCTTCAGGACATGGGCAATCATAGCTCTTCACAACTTCCTGTCCTTTGTAGATTTTAGTAAAGTTTGTCTTTTTTGTTATCTCTTCTAATCCCTGTTCTGCCAACCATTTACACAACCTGCTCATTAGAGAGGTTATGTGCTGCTTTTACCTGTCAATCTTGCCTTCAGTATGTCATGTGAGTGTCAAATTTTCTTCATTATGCGCCCTAGAAATTTCAGTTGCCTCTTTCTGATGCAAAGTATAAATGTTGATTTGGTTTCCATTTTCTCTAAAACTTCCTCATTGCTCCCATGTTCAGTCCATGGTATTCTCAGCATCCTACTTTAGAACTACATTTCTGTTGACTCAAGTCTTTTCTTCATCTATGTGGAGATTGTCCAGCATTCATTGCCATATTCAACTCCATGTCATGTAAAGGATCTCTGTCCTGCACTTGACGCAACCCAACTGGAAAATGACAACAGTGATGCATCATCTGGGGGTGAACTTATTTTTGTACCACACCAATGCAAACCTGAGAGCCTGACTATAGAAAAGGGAAAAGGTACCAGTGTTATAGTTACCAACCAGTTTACAATTATATAACAGTTCAGTACTCTTTTCTTTGTTCCCAATGAAATTTTCCTGTTTCATAATACTTTGCTTAGCTTTTAGAAGGCAACTTTTACTATCCCATGTACCTTCAGATTTCTGTGTTGCATTTTCCATCCTCCGTTAAAATATTCCTAGATAGTTACATTTTTGTTTTTGCTTCATTTTTCTACTGCAAATTTGTAACACGCATGTAGGTCTTTCTTTTACTGACAACCACACATTCTTCCTTCTTACAATTGATGTTAAGATCTTCAAAGGAACTCATGCCCACTCATCGGCTTAAGATTCTACCAAATGCAAACTAACTTCTCTAAGGAATCTAAATGCAGAAAGGCATGATGGCTCTTCAAATGCATGAATGCTTCCCTCTGTTGACTTTGTGCCATTTTGATCTGATATCTAGAATTTAGACAAAGGCAGTCCATCTGTGTCAGAATTCCATGCCTAAAAGATATTCTGACCAATTGTTCACCACCTTGGTCAACCACCACATTCATAAGGAAAAACTACCCCAAAGAGTATAAAAATGAATAATTGGTAAATAATTAAATATTTTTGTGAGCAACTGTATGCATTTTATACTTGTATATGTCCATCCGTATATAATATATTTCTGTTTCCTTGTAGTACTTTTGCTGGAGAAATAAACAAAATAAACTGACTCTAAAGAATAAATACTACATTATGATCTTTACATAATAAAAAACTAGAGAAGAGTGACTTTTCCTTGAATTGTCATTGATGTGGAAAGAAAATCAAGATCTATTCTCTTCATGATCTGTTTAGATTATTGAACTCTGTGTTGCTTTGATCATTAGCACCATGTTTCTGACACACCATTCTGCAGACTTCTTCATGTGTACAATATATAAAAGAAATTGAAGGATCTCTTTTCAACAGCAATACAAAGGATATAATCAATAATCCAACCATTCTTAGCTCATAACTCTTCTTAAAATTATGGACATATCTATCCATTTTTAACTTCTATGATTATTATTATTATTATTAAATGAATGAGAAACTTACTAAGAAATTGATGCCTTGGGCACAAATATATAAATCCCAATATATATTTACATTATCTACATCATTCAGACTGTTGTCCTCATATTTATTGCCATATTCATGACATTTTGGCTGTTGTACACTCTGACCTTCTTCAGGTGATACACATTGTGATTTCAAACCAAACCCTTTATTTTGTTCATTGGGTGGGGGTAGATTATTCTAATTCCACATGCCATGCCTTTTTATGGATATCTCAGTTTCAGTTAATTCCCTTTAGTAACTCAACTCTCCAAGTTTTTGTTCCCTCTACTTTGGCCAGGTATTGAGCTGACAACTCTTTGAGTCATTTTTTGGATTACTCAACTAACTCATCTATCCACTGGCCATGTAACCAATATATATGGCACCCATACCTGAAAAGAGTATACTAAACACTTCTGTTTCAGTTACATTCCCATCACCATAGCATAGTTTCCCTGTGCTTTCTCTATATATACTTTCATGGCAATTGTTCTGATGAGCTTCCCTTTTTGGAACCTAGCCTTTATAAATTATAAGCGCAGTACTAGATTGGCAGCAAGTACTCATCATTTTACAAATGAAATGGCTAGATGCAACCATAAGTTCTGTGCTAACAGTAACTTCTTTCACCCATCTCATTTGTGAAACTCTTTTCTGGCTTCTTACTTTCCAGTCAACTTTAAAAATTTAAATACAATATCAACCGTTATCTTCTGTCTTCTTAATTTCTGTTTTTTTTTATTGTTACTTTTCCTTATTAATGTTTTCTCATATTCTCTCACATTCAGTAACCTCTTGTGTCATATTGGCTTTATTGACTTACTTAGAGTGAAATGACAAAACAAAAAGATTTGAGTGGAAACTGCATCTGCTTACATCTATTACTCATACAATGTAACAAAAAACCAACAAAGCTGATATAGTGAGGTATTGCAAAGATACTCTTGGTTAGTAGTAATGATGCTGTAGCCCCCAAACCATGCTTTAATCCATCAGCATCATCTGATAAAAGCATTACTGGAGGTACCATTCTTGTTGCTGCAATAGTCATTGTATTATTGATTGATTGATTAATTCATTTTTACGGTTAGTCAACCTTTTGTAGGTTATTTAATGACAAAACTGATTTTGGGGATTTTTTTGCTGGTGAATATTGCATTAACAATATTTTGGAGAATAACAATGTCTTTTCCAGATATAAGTCACATTATTTAACCCATAGCTGGGGAAGATGGATTCATGCCTTTCCCAATGGTAGTTGCATGTAATGAATGAAACAAACCCAACTGGAATTCAAACTTGACTCTCTGAGTTTTCATTCTGAGCTGCATTGCATTATATTAATTCATATATAATAATATTAATATAGTGAAGTCATAGGTATTCTTTAGATGTGTACAAGAAATAAACTTTGGAGTAAAGGTCTGTAAAAATGAAAATACTTTTGATACACCCTAATAAAATAATAATAATAATAATAATAATAATAATATAATGGCATCTTAGAATTAGATATGAACATGAAATAAGCTTTTAAGTAAAGGTCTGTAAAACCATACTTTTAATACACCCTAATAAATAGAAAGGAAGATATTTGACACTTGTACATAATAATTTGTTGAAAATATATGATTTAAATTTAGAATGATTTTCACAATAGGAAAAATCCTTCTCTTGCATGTCCTTACAATCTATACTATATATAGTCTTCCCATAGATGACAATGTCACCCATGGATGACATTGAAAATGTTCACATATCTGTCAACCTGCTTAAATCTTTAGTGTTTTCAGAATTATCAACAGCCACACCCGATCAGTGAAATCGACAGTGACCTTCTGAAGAGATTTGGAATCCTATTTAAGCTGTATGAACAAGCCTCTATACTGATCAGCTCAC